TCCGTCCTGGGAGAGGGATCCCTCCTCTGTTGCTCTCCCTGAGGTTTCTCCCATGTTCCCTTTAAACTGTGGGTTTTCTCCGGAAGTGTTTCCTTGTACGATGTGAGGGTCTGAGGACAGAGGGTCTGAGGACAGAGGGTCTAAGGACAGAGGGTGTCGTATTGTCATACTGATATTTTGTACAAACTGTGAAGACCACTGAGACAAATGTAACATCTGTGATATTGGGCTATATAAATAAACATTGATTGATTGATTCATAATCTTTGCCTAGTTGCCTCGTCAATACACATTATTTGACACATTGGCTATTTTGGTTGTGGTGGTATATATGCATTTCCTTTTAAACGATTGCCCTTAGAATCAATAAACCTCATATGCGTTATGATTCTTTGGAAGATAATGTGTTGTTATCACCACATTTATTACCGTGTATCCTCCTCAGGCAGTAAGGCAGGTCATCCTTGCTGTTGACGGCCTTGTAGCAGGAGGTGATGTAGCTGAAGTTGCTGGTCTTCTGCATGCGGTTGGGTGGAGGGAGGGCCTCGAGGGGGAAGAGGCTGTGGTAGCTGTCCACCTCAGAGGGCACATCTACCAAAAACAGACGTAGTTTCAGATGAGAAAAAATAGCCTTGCACACGGAAACCATAACAGATCCAGCATGTTAAAGAAGGTCACAGCCTACATAAACAATTAGTTGTTTTGACAAGATTATTCAATTCCTATATGAATGGTTTTCACACATCTTTACAGTAATGTTATTTTGCAGCTGAAATGATTGACATGAACCCTTTACCTGGGTTCTCCGAGTGGTCAATCTGGGCCATGGTTATTAGATGTCTGTTTATCAACTCCTGGAAGACAAACAGCAGAATATCACATCAGAGAATACATCTAGTGAAAGAACAGGTGGGTGATTGGGAAATACCTGTCGGAGTTCATCAGCCATGAAGAAAGACGGGGCGTTAGCTTTCGGCTGCATGTAAGCCACATTGGGCGCAGTGGGGGGATAGATATGATAGGTAGGAAACACCTGCAAAGAAACCAGAAAGAACAGCTTCCTATTTATCGAGAAATGAAAACCAATGTGCTCAGATGTTGTTCTTTTTGTCCTAGCTACGCAAATGAATGTCATGAAACAAAACTCTAATCAAGATTTTAAAGAAGTGCTAAAAGTGTATACAACGCCAGTTTAAACTGGTTAATACCCGTTATTGGCTGCAAGGAGGCTGTTTTATTTTAGATTGTGGTGATTGCATGAAAAAAGGGCAGCTTACAGACTGAAGTATGGGTCCTGTGCAGTCAACACTCTTGCTTCTCAAGAAACCGAGATGTTTTAAATGCAGTTGTTTACACACAACATTTTTTAGATATGTTTTATAATGTGGTGCTGCATCGTTGTATGTTTTCTTAAGTACTCTTCTTGTGTATTTTCAGCTTTAGTCTGGCAGTATTACCCAAAATAGACAGAAGGGCACTGTGTGCAGCACATACCATCCCAGACATTGGCGCGGGGGTGTTGTCTGTGTAGAAGTAGGTCGTCCCCCCTACAGTCTCTTTCTGGATCATGTGAGGGCCCTGGTCAGCTGCACTGGTGGGCACCATGTAGTTGGCAGGGTTTGGGGTGTGACTGCGCCGGCGAGGAGCAGGTGAGGTGTGCGGTGTAATTTTTGGGGAGTGAAGAGGAGACGACCCCGCAGACAGAGACATGCCTAGAATTGGAGACAGGAGAGTGTTTTATTTCAACAGTAGCGCATGTGGAGATGTAAACAGAAGGGAATTCCCGAACCAGCAAAAGATTGGAAAACAAAACAAAGCCAAGTAGAAAGTGGAGCAAAGCAGATACAACAGGGGGATTTGTCTCTAAACGATGCTCTGAAAAAACCCTCACCTGGAGCCAGTGCAGCAGCTGTGGAGCTGTTGAGGCCAGGATGTGGGAACAGAGGAGAGGGGAAGGCCGGGACAGAGGACTGGGCCATGGGGGCCTGAGCCATGGGGGCTTGAGCCATGGGGGCCTGAGCCATGGGGGCCTGAGCCATGGGGGGCATTCGTGGAGCTCCTTTAGGGATGAACTCACTTGCTGCTGGGTTAGGAGCCTGGTGGTAAAAGAAAATACATGCAAGAGTTATAACAAAAATGTGCCACTCCTGTAAAAGGAAATAAAGATTAAGAAGAAAATTAAATGTATCCTAGTAAAATCCGAAGTACTTGCTCATAGAAAAGCACAATACTGAACATTAAAAATACTTTGAAATAACTTTCTTGTTTTGAAAAGGATGCTTGTGTGCTCACCTTTCTCCTTTGGGAAATGCTAAGAGCACCAAAATCACTGAACAGTGAGGATGTCGGGGAGTTCACCGGATCTGTGGAGACCAAAGAGTGTGAGAGTTTGGCAGTGGCCCTTCAAACATCTGATGAATGAGTATTACAATTCCCACAGATTGCTATATCAGTCTCACCATGAGTGCTGTGGCTGAAGTTCTTGGCACCATCGTTGAGGAGACTAGGAGAGCTGCTGCTGGTGGTCATTCGCTAAAGACAACAGCAACAAGAAAAGATGTGTAACAGAAGACACTGATGAAATGTGTGAGTTATGATGTTTAACTAGTTTGTAAAAAAAATAACTACATGCAAGACATCTCAATAACTAGTGCATAGGTTTATCTGAGGACTTAAAGCAGCAATGATACCAAACTCACATACGTTTTCAAAGCAGTTTGTTCACACCGACAAAACAATGTACAGAACAGCACCCTCTCATACCTGCATCATTGAGTATTTAGTCTCTGCTGGGCTCCCAAACCCATTGACCCCGATAAAGCTGCTGCTGAAGTAAGAGTTGGTGAGATTGGCATCGTTCAGAGACGCACCCTCCATCCCTGGGACTGTGGATGACAGAAACCAAAGTTTAGCAAATAGTAACTGTAGCAAGATAGTTTAAACAGAATTGAAGGTTAAGCATGTGTGTTAATGTCAGCACTATTACTTGTTTGAAATGTAAACATTTCTACAACTGCAGAGTGAGACACTACTACAATATCCACTTAGTATCATTTAATAACAAACTTTTTGCAACACGTACTGGTTTCAATGGCTCCGGGTTTAATGGGACGTAGTGAGCGTTTGGTGTTGCATGAGCATTTGAGTTACTTGCGGTTTGTTTACGTTGGGAAACAACGCTAAACCCCGTGAAGAGCTAACGTGGCTAGGCTAATGTTACCAAACATTACACTTCAGTTGCATCCCAACATCAACACTATAGTTCACAATCACATCATCCAAGTGAAACAAAATAACGGGACTAGTGCTAACACTGAAGACGCCTATCTCAATACACAACCAAACGCATTCAAGTTGAATATAGCGTTCATTTCAACGCTAGTTGAGCTAATGCTAAGCTACGGTAGCTGTAGTGTCGCGGGTTTCTGCCCACTCACAGCTGTCACACACAAACACCAGGCCTCCTCCGTGAGAACAGCATGGCTAATGTTACACCTGGTTACAAAACATAAAAACCACCTGAAGACAGAGCTAACGTTATCCATAAGGAAGCCTTAGTGTAAAACATGTGCCAGCTACACACTGAAGGCTTTGGATAATGTTTTGCGGGCAAAGGTAACCCACGTTGTTTTGGGGTGACGAGGCCTCACTGAATCCCCGGGCTAGATTTTAACAAAGCCCAACAAGGCCCAAAAGTAAAGTCGCAGCCAGTCGCCCCGTGTGAGGCCAGTTTACTCACTGGTTAAAAGCTGCCCCTCCAGAGACGTGCCTGCAGGCCCCATTGTTTCGCTTTTCTTGGACACACCGGTCCCCCCAGGGCAGGCAGCTGCGGGTCCGCCGAGGGGAAACCCCGTCCCGCCGGCCATGGACAGCGGGACGGGGCTCCCGCCGCCGTGCATAGGCAGGCTTCCCATGGACGGCTCATCGTGCAGGAACTGACACTCTTCTCCATAAAAGCAGGTTTTGTCTTTTGCGTAATATCGGCAAAACTTCACCTTGACATTGGGTATCCCGGCAACCCCTAGCGGAGCAGCTGAAGCTGGGAGTCCACTGTTCATGGCACCGCTGCTGCCGGAAGACTCGCACACATAGAGACGCAGAGAGCTAGCCACTTAGCCTGCTAGCCTGCACACAGTTCCCCCCTTAAAGGAGCGGATTAATGTCACTGGAGCTGGTGAAGAACGTTAAAACGCTGCAGTACTCACATTATAAGGCTAAGATGCTTTTTGGTTTGAGAAATTATCTCTGCATGCGTCAAATCCTGGTCGTCGTTGTTGTCGCTATCCATGCAGCTGCCTTCTTTGCAAAGTAGCCTGTTGTTGTTTTTTCTCGCAGACACTAGACAGGCTAGGGACCAGCTAGCATTGCTTTGCATTGTGGGTAGAGCGTTTGGCAGAGTTCACATGCTGAAAATTAACGTCGCAAATTCAACTTGCAGCACTGTGATATTGTGAATCAAAAGAATAACGTCGCTAAATGATCCATGTTTGCAGAATAAAAAAATGCTATTCAGTCTATGCGTTCACCTGTCAGATGTGTTTATTGCACAATTAACCTATGTTACATTGTTGCAACAAAGCTTATAAATACTAAATGTACATAAACGTACTGTGCAGCCACGTACTGTATAGTATGTACAGAAAGCAATGCATGGGTAAGTAAGCAGTCTTTATTTAAACCAGATTTAAACATTGAAAAACAATACATTAAATATGTGAGGCAAATGTATATGGCATTTTCATTTGAATGAATATATAAACAGCATATTGTACTCAAAATGATAATTACAAATAACCCTATGTATATTTTCTTAACTAATAATTTAAATACGACTCTATAACGATTTCAATGCACATTATTGTATTTTGTATTAGCTCCCATAATGGCATAACATCCCTTGTGAGATATTAAATTGTTCCCGTCTCATTATTTATGATTATCCTTCGGTGTTTGTTATTTAATAACTGTTTGCATGCTATATATTGGTGCCAGGCGTGGCGGACAACGTCATCGCTTCCTCTATTTAAGGTACACGCGCACATCATAGCATCAAAGCCTCGCGTGTGACCCGGGAGTATGTGACAGTCACAGAGAGAGAGAGCATCAAAGCGGAGGCACACCAACATGATTGCTGGTGAGTCAGAAAATACTGTTATTGTGAGGGTTGCTGAGTAAATAAAAAAAGGCCAGGATGCTTATAAGGAATATAAATGTTGCTGTTTAGCCAAATGTAGTCAGAAATCATTTTTAGTTGTTTTTAGTATATTGCATTTTTGTATTTAACCTATGTAAAATGGTTTGTTACCTTAAAAAACGAAATGTTTACTCATGAAATATAATGTCGACATTCATCTGTAGTTTAAAATTCCAGTAAGAGGAACCTTTTAGATCGTGCTCCCTTCATGAGAGACGGACACTTTATAATTCATCATTCAAAGCTACACAATTAATGCAATCATTAACTCTGTTATTAAAACACAGTTAAGCCCTTACATCATTGTATCGCTGTAATAACCAACTAAAACTCCAAGTAATCAGGTTTTAAATTATGTTTACATAATTTATTAGCACTTTGAATATTAACATATAGTAGAGGTAATAATAAGCACATTGATACAAAATAAAAAAGATGCAATTAAGAACATACAAAGACTTTACAAAACTTTAAACTGCATATAGGGATTGATTCACGTCAACACCTGTATATAAAAGGGACAATTTAACTAATTTTGCAATAAATACTAATCAATAAACCACTGGAAGTACTTAAAATAAGCAATGTTGTTTTTCGTTTCTTTGGCCCCAAGCTATTTAGTGAGCATACAAATAGATTTACATTTTAATTTTTGACCAGGTATCGTTGTGCTGTGTGCTGTCAGGCTGCTCTGCTCTGATGGTGTCGCAGCGCAGAATCAGGCCTGCGTGCCAAATCATGAGGTACGAGCAGCAAAGGTCCTATCTGTGTTTCAACTGAGCAATTCAGTTAAATATATGAACTTGTTTTTCTGGCTTACTATATATTTAGATGCATTATTGAGTTAAGGCAAACAGTTATTCCTTGGTTAACGTGAATGATGTGCAGGGACTGAGGGTTGGACATATATTGAATTTACATAACAGGTTTTACAGATCATTATATCATGTCATGTTTATTTACATGTCCACCACATTAGTTGCTGCTAGAATCTCATTGCCTATTGTCTTCCAAACATAAGGCCTAGCAGAATGAACAAAGATTTTTTGATTGTCTCTTAATCGACTGTGGCTGCGAGGGAGTGCGGTCGTCTTTCAACCAGAAGGTTGTGGGTTCGATCCCAGCCCATGCAGCCAACATGTCGATGTATCCTTGGGCAAGATACTTAACCCTGAGTTGCAAATGGGTGAATGACATGTAGTATGTAAAGCGCTTTGAGGGGTCTTAAAGACTGGATAAAGCGCTATATAAGTACAGTCCATTTACCATTTAAATGTGGACTCACTTTGAAACCGAAAAAAACAAACTGCATAGCAACAAGAGGTTGTGAAACATCGGAGAGGGAAATGGCAAAAACCTGACTAAAAGTTGTATTTCTTCTTATCTGTCAGTTTGTGTCATTTTCATAAAATCTTAAGAAACACAACCAAGACAAGCGGTTGAAGTCACAGAAGAGGCATAATTCTAAGACCTCAATGAACCTATTAATGTTGAATGCCTTAAGGCACATGTGTCAAACTCAAGGCCCGGGGGCCAAATCAGGCCCGTGGTGGATTTAATTTCGGCCCGCAGGATAATTTGTAATTGCTATTAGATCTGGCCCGCCGGTATATTGCACGCACACCTTCACTCCATCCTGAGGGTCTCCTCAGCTCAGAGCCTGAGCCCAAACATTGATGACCTTGCACCCAAGACGAGATGCCAAGTATCTGAGCTAGCATCACAGAGCAGCACACTGAGTTTAATGGATGTTTCCTTCTGCACTTTCTCTCACGACAACAGGGCATGTTTGGTTTTCTCTCTGAGGGAAATAGTTTTCTTGAAGCTGTTGTTGGCCTGTGGGAAAATCTAATCGTAAGAAATGACTCTGGAAAAGCTGCAGATCGAGCCATAAGAAATTAATGCAACTGATTATTTAATATTTAATGTTGTTTTTATAGGCAATAAATTAAGCTTTGTTAGTTCCAGGTTTAATATGTGCAACAAGTTCATTTCAATAAGTTCTGCAATAAACATTGAACCAGTCCGGCCCTCCACTAGTACCCATTTTTTTATTTTGGCCCACTGTGTGTTTGAGTTTGACACCCCTGCCTTAAGGGGACCGTTCAAAAATCATATTTGTTCTTCTTACCTGTAGTGCTTTTTATCAATCTATATTGTTTTAGTGTGAGTTGCTAAGGGAGGTGGAAATTGCTGTAGAGATGTCTGCCTTCACTCAAATATACACACAAGTTTGTAAAGATGAGTTAAAAAACTGATGTACCCACAGACCTTTATGTGAACGACTGTTTGAGATGTTAACATGAATGTGAACTGTCCCTTTGAAATGACTGGTATAAAGTCAGCTTTTCTTGTAAATGTGTTTTTCACACCTAGACAAAATCTTGATGTTGCTACCACACCAAAAGCTACTTAACGCAGGGTGATTGAATGTCAACCCTTGTCTTTTAGGTGGAGTGTTTTGTACCGGCGGACCATCTGAGTGCGTCTGGGTCAGTCAGCGTTGAGGTGTGTGTCGGTAAGAAACTCATCATCTCCCTGCAGCACTTCTCCGAACAGCCTGTTTGCAGCTGGATCCGAGGAGCAGACACAGTAATCACAGTGTAAGTGAATTATTAACTGTTCTCACTTTTAATATGTATTTGTATATATTGAATGTTTTATTTAAACCTCATCAGAAATGGGAGTGAGTCCTTGGTCCTACCCAAGCTTTCTGAGGACGATTCAGGGGAGTACACGCTGAGATGTGAAACCAGCGACGGGGCCAGTTCCTCAATGAATGTGTCTCTGAAAGTAGCCATGAGTGAGTTCCAGCTCTCTCATATCTCCTCGCATCTCTGCTATGCTAAGTCAGACTGCCAACAAACACTGTGATACTGAAAACTAAGTAAAATATTTGTTTTTATAGATCGTCCCTCAAAACCAAAGCTGACAATTGACAAAGAGCAAGTCCGATTCATATCCCCTTCTTTGACATGCATCTCTGAGGACTGCCCTAAGCCCACTCTGAAATGGACTGGGTAAGATGTTAGCCATTACGTTTGTATTCATGATTCAGAGTATATCAGAGTAGTTGGGTTTTCTAAATGTTGATCCTCCTTTTGAACAGAAACCCAGATGTGACAGTTGTTTCTACAAACAGTGGACGTACACAAATCGTTATATCCACCAGTGAATATTCTGACACAGGAGTGATGTGCTGTGCCACTAACGCTAGAGGACAAGAATGCTCCCAACTGTATGACTATGGTAATTCAATATCTCAACAAATGAATTCAATACATCATACATCAATGATCAAAGACATACATTTAGCACATTTTTAACCACCTGAAACGTGGGAGGAAAAATAGTTCATGTACTAGCAAATAGTAATTGGAGTAAATCAAATCTGTGTTTCAGACCTGGACAGTGAATTCATGAAAGATGATGAAGTTTCTAATTTGACTGTGAGCCCTGGTGAGCCTTTACTCCTTCGCTGTCGAGCGACACACCCGCATAAGAGGATTGAACTTGGGTGGGAAAAGGGCAGAAAAAAATTGGACATTCGGACAAATGGATGCTCGTCTACAGTCAAGAGAGAGGTATTTAGACCAATTTTAATTCCCGTAGTAAAGCATAAATCCCAAACTATAGCATTATCCAAATAATATGATAAATGTTTTTATCCCAGATCTGCATTAAATCTGACATGCATCAAGGAAGTTGTATGCGCTACCTGTTTATCGAATCAGCGAGCAGTGACCACAGTGGCACTTATACCTGCAGCAGACCAAACAACAACAAAACAAAGTCTGTCAACATTCAGGTCCAAGGTTAGTTTCACCGGATTGAACTTTCTCATTTAAACTGTTGACATGTTTGTACTAGTTGTACACGTACTGATTTGGCTCCTGTGTTGTCTCAGCTGAGGGTTTCCTCTCCGTCCAACTGAATAAAAGCAAGATCCTCCCCCCTCACAACGCCTCCACATCCTGTCTGCAGGCCAGTGTTTCCTACCACCCTGTGCTGGAGAAGTGCTACTGGGAGACTCCTGATAAAACAGAGATTGAATGTGAAAAAAAGACTTGGGTTACAAAACACAGGTAGCTGCATGAAGCTGGAGCTGAACTCCTGAATCAATGCTCACGTACATTTTAAGCGCTGAAAATACTGTATAATCCCAGGATTTGTATTATTCATGAGGTATGACTTTTGGATGGTTTCATATTTATTTCCTCAGGACTGTGAAGCTATGTGTCACACTCAAATCCGGAGATTATAAATTACACGTGGAAGCTGGAGGACTAAAAGAAACAAAAACCATATCAGTGTGTGTTGCAGGTACGAGAGAGTGTGTCTCATTTGTATTAACTCCTGCACATTATATCTGTAAACGTTCAAAGGAGATTGACTATTGACTTTGTTACAGACCCACCAAAGTTCAGATTCGAGGACATCAATAACACCTTAACTTTTGAGACTGTGGCTCTTGTGCCGGCAAATTATACCTGGAAGTCCTGTGTTTTGTCGAATGACAGGTATGCTCTCTGTCAGATTGTCACGTTATGGCCTCTGTTGTACACCCAGATTTCCTCAACTCCCTGCTCTCTGTCTCAAAGCAGCTGTGAAACTGCGTCTAACTGGAATGATATCCCAGGAGCGTCTCACACAGACTCTGACGTCTCCTGTCAGAAGACCATGAGGAGCTCTCTGAGCAGAAGTCTAGTGACAGGAAACAATTTATGGTTCTGCCTGACAAACTCACTCGGCTCCTGGTGCCAAAAGTGCTACATAATAGACAATGGAGGACCCCATACAGGAATGTCCTTCGGAGGTAGGGAGATTCATTTTCACATTTCACAACATAAAATGAAAGTGTTGTTTTCTCATGATACTTTCCTCTTCCTCGGTTTTAGCTGCTCCAAATCATGACAACAAAAGCTTGATGCTGCTGAAAGTTGGCAGTTTGTTTCTGGTCATGGCTTTGGCAGTAGTTAGCGTGGTGCTCATTTACTTTGTCAAAAAGAAGGTACGTTTTGAACACTGACACACACAAAACACACACTCACAAAAAGACATGACACTTACTACTTTGTGTTTCCAACAGAAACCTCAGTACCAGCCTCAGCTTCAGATGATCCAGATGGTTGGACCCAATGACAATGATTACATCTACATTAACTTCAAGGACTTTGGTTACGACAAGCAATGGGAGTTCCCCCGGGAGAACCTGGAACTGGGTATGAACTAGCCCCCAAACACGATACCAGACTTCCGAGGTGGACGAACTAAACACATCCTTTACTTGAGTAAAAGTACTGATACAATCATGTAAAAAATCCCTTACAGTAAAAACCCTGCCTTTAAAAGCTACGCCTCCATTGGACACATCACGATGTAGCAATCGCGCTTCTATTGGCTATACTCGGACACATTGCACATGATAGGCTAAGGGGCGGTTCATCTCTAAGCGGTTGACCAATCACAACAGAGCCGGCCAGCTAACCAATCAGAGCGGACTGGGCTCTGGTTTCAGACAGAGGGTGAAAAGAGGTGCTGCAGCACAGGCAGTGTGAGAACAATAAGTTCAGTCAAGTTTAAAAGAAATGCTTTGCTCTTAAATGTAGAAAAGAGGTACAAGTACCTATAAAAGTGAACTCCCCTAAAATCTCAGCTGCCTGTTTGGATGTGTGCTGAGTGCCCTTGTGTCCTTGTGTCCTCCGCAGGTCCAGAACTGGGCTCTGGGGCTTTTGGCACGGTGGTCCAAGCTACGGCTTACGGCATCAACCAGGCTGGAGTCTCGCAGCAGGTGGCCGTCAAGATGCTTAAAGGTCAGCGTTTCATTTATTTATTCCGTGGAGGAAATGCAAACATGCTATGAAGGTCATTTCAGCAGCTGTTGTGATATGTGACGCTGCAGAGAAACACCAGACTGTGGAGAAAGAGGCCCTGATGTCCGAGCTGAAGATGCTGACTCACATCGGTCACCACGCAAACATTGTTAACCTGTTGGGGGCATGCACAGACTCAGGTACAGTTGGTGGTAATTGTGAGCTAATAACACACAGGACAATAAATGTGTACATGCATCACTAATATTCTTTCCCCCATTTTTGTATTTGTTTCCCTCATGCAGGACCCACGTACCTGATTTTCCAGTACTGCTGTTATGGAGATCTTCTGAACTACCTTAAGACGAACAGAGAGCTCTACCACAAGTCTGTCACCGACGCTTTCACCAAGGACCGATTCAGCAGCATTTACCACAACCTGCAGCCCAACAAAAGCTCTAGGTGCGGAAACACGGGGTAGGAGGAGAAATATTGGGAATCATTTGGCAAAAAGGGCAAAAAAGGGTAGATCAATCATAAAGACAAGACTCTATATAAGTGAAGGCATATCTAGAAATTGACTTAAGTTCACCTTTGTGTTTTTTTCAGTGAGGGAGACAAAACAGTGGATAATTACGTGCCCATGCACCGCTCTACCACCGGAGGGCAGGAGGACATCGCCCTGCTCCCCATCAACCTCAACGACAGCATTGAAGGTGATAAAGTACCTCCTGCATGTCAGATCACTTTCAGGTTTTCGTGCACAGAGTAGCAGATCCTTCTGAGTTTTTGACTGACTCTTACTGATGATGCCGGTTTCTCTGCAGAACCTTTGATTTACGAAGACCCGGACGATCTGACGGACGACGCGCAGACCCTGACCTTCGACGACCTGCTCAGCTTCGCCTTCCAGGTGGCCAAAGGCATGGAGTTCCTCTCCTCCAAGAATGTAAGACACTGTTAAAACGTCCCACATTTACACCATGGTCAGCCCCATACTGTACAATCAATGGTTCTAGTTTATATGTAGTATTTAGTGTATTCTTATGGGTTAATTAGGCAGACAAAACAAGCTGTTTGAGGAATTTAGGAAATCGTTTTGGGCATTTTTCAGAAATATATGACATTCTTTAAATAAACAATTGATTAATCCTGAAAGATCATCTGCATATTAATTGGTAGTTTGAAAAAAAGACTAATTTGTAAATAGAAAGACTTAATTTTATCAACATATATGTGTTATCACACTCTTGGATTGTAGATATAATCTTTTCTTTATTAAACATTCCTAGCCTATTGTATCTCCAACTGCAGGTCAGTTTGAGACACATTTGTATGGGTATTATAAAAGATAAATGTTTTCAACCTCCATTTTAGTCAAGTAATTAGATAGATTTACAAGGAATACAAAATGTGTAAATGTCATACTTCAAACTCAGGCTTGGTGTTTGTGGGTTATGTGTTTGACTCCTGATTGGTCCGTCTGTCTGCAGTGCATCCATCGAGACCTGGCAGCTCGTAACGTGTTGGTGACGAAGGGCAGAATGGCGAAGATCGGCGACTTCGGACTGGCTCGGGACATCGACAACGACTCCAACTACGTCGTGAGAGGAAATGTACGTCAGACATTTACATTAAATCATTCATTGGTTGTTTTATCCTTTCACACATTTAATGGGTGACGTGGCTTTGCAGGTGCGTTTGCCAGTGAAGTGGATGGCACCAGAGAGCACCTTCCAGGGCATCTACACCATGAAGAGTGACGTCTGGGCCTATGGCATTCTGCTCTGGGAGATCTTCTCACTTGGTAATCCTCTACCAGCTTTTTACATGAGGAGCACATTGAAAAGACAAGCACATAATCAACTCTGTCTGTGTGACTCTCAGGCGTTACTCCGTACCCGGGCATGAAGGTGGACCACACGTTCTATTCAATGATCGAGAGAGGATTTAAGATGGAGTGTCCTTACTATGCCAACGAGTCTGTGTGAGTGTCACCTGACGCATGCAACCCTTGTATTTCAATGGATTTAGGACACAGAATAACCTCTAGACACTATGATAAAGTTCAAATGTTTTCATCATAATAATCGCAATGAAGAGTAGATGTAAAAACTGTATATAAATATGCATGCTGCTATAGATTTTTAAATGCGTGGCCACGTCTAGCAGTGATGGAAATGTACTCGGTACTAATGTGATGTACTCGAATACATTTTTAAGGCTTGTTTCCGTTTCCTGCTTCTTCTTTCCCAGATGTATTAGGAGATGTTGTCCTTCTTACTTCACTGCAGTTATTTAGGAACGTACTTCATTTAGAACAATTAAAAATATTCAGCTTGTAATAAAATATTTTAAATTGTTATGATGTATTGTTTCACTTTAGTAAAGCATCTGAGTGATCCCTTACTGTTGTCAACACCAAACAGTAGTTCCTGTTGACTTCTAGTTGTCATTTGTAACTGAGAATCCAGTTACAATATATCAAATCTGCTTTCTCCATGACTTACTTCTGCAGGTACGGGATGATGTGTAAGTGTTGGGCTCTGGATCCCTGCGACCGTCCATCTTTCTCCAAACTGGTGTCCTTCATGTGTGATCAGCTGACAGACAGAGAGGAGCAGGTATGTCAACATAATATGGGTAGAAAGGAAGAAGACTTTAATCATTTTCAGCTCCACAGAAATATTAATATTGTTTATTTTCTCTTCCTCTTTCAGCTGTACCATAACATGCCCGACCAGGAATCCAGCATCTACCAGAACGCAGCCCCCATTTTGGACATTTCCGCCTTGACACAACAAAACGAGAACAAGGCGGCCAACGATTACTGTCGAACCCACGCGACTGAAGAGAGCAAAGCAGAAGCGTCTGAAACTGTGGCCGCTGAGGAGAAGCTGAAGACATCTGATGCAGAGTGATAACCTTTCACCGAATGCATTTTGACCAAACATGCCTTAAATATTCATTTTTTATATGTTTCTCATAGTATCTCAAGATAACCGTAGAATGCACTTGCTTTATGTCCTTTTGTAATATTGTCAGAAAACAAGATTTTATAAAATGTGGCCTGAATATAGAAAAAAGTGTTTTTGTTTTATATTTTTCAATTGTGCAGCTAAAAAACAGTTTCATCGATACAAATTCTCAGGACTATAGACATGTTGAAGTACGTCTGCATACTGTAGCAACTGTTTGGTTTTACATGTTATCAGTATAACATGTATTTGTATGCACTGGTAAAAGTGTTGTTGTATTTTTTTATACTAGGTGAGCAGCTATTACTTAAGCCAGTTTATGTGCACTTATATATTGTTATCAAAACAAGCTTTTTCTACTGTGAAAAGTGGATTTATTATGTGCCTTTGGTTTTGTAAGCATTATACCTGCAATAAAATGCACATTTAACAATAAAAGGTTAACAACAATGAGTGTGCATGTTTCTGATGTGTCAAAAGTGATGTTCATAGTCTACCTCAGGGAGAGCAACAGAGGAGGGAACCCTCTCCCAGGACGGACAGACGTGCAATAGATGCCGTGTGTACATTGAAAAGATAATACATTTTGCAACATAGGTAGACCAAAAGTTTGGAAATGCATGTGTCTGTAATAAGAAGATGAATCCACGAGGATGTCAACAATCCTGTGGGAGCCATCAGGGAAGTAGTGTGATGAGAGTCAGGCAGGACCACAGAGACAGGTTCAGCCACGACTCGACGTCCAGGACTCAGATCCAGAACTCAGGATAGAGGATCCAGGACTCCGGATCCAGGACTCAGGATAGAGGACACAGGACCGCAGCAACAGGATCAGCCACGACTCAGGATCCCAGCGTAGATAGACACTAAAAAGAAATTTGGGGGAAGCTGGGTTATTCGGAACATGAGAGTACACAGGTACAGACAGAGAGAAGGAAGAAGTAAGGTGTCCCCCGACAGTCTAAGCCTATAGCAGCTAAACTAACGTGTCTACGTACATGCACTCCCTTAGGATAGGGGGAGGGAAAAGAGTAGGAACTAAGATGTATGCGCCACATCTATACCATGAGCGCATTGCTCCTAAAAAGTGTTTCTGGCACTGACACCAATCAACTGTTGTGCGTCGACTCGGCAGGGATCAAGGCACATACATGCCTCTCCCTGCTTCCACCGTACACACACCACCAAATGACATCCTTACCATCAGTAAGGAAAAAGAGTAAGAACTCAAATGTATAGGTGAAGAGGCACAACGTATCTACGTCAATGCACTCTTATTAGATTATTTTATCACTATAAGCTTTATCAAAAAGGAAGGTCTTAAGCGCACTCTTAAAAACGGATAGGGTGTCTGCCGCCCGAACACAAACTGGAAGCTGATTCCACAAATGTGGAGCTTGATAAGAAAAGGCTCTGGCTCCCATTGTACTTTTAATAATAATAATAATTTCAATTTATATATCACTTTCACGAAACCCAAGGACGCTTTACAATGGGAAGTAACAAAACAAAAAGTAATAATAATCATACAGATACATAGGCTGAAGAAAACAAAACAGGAACAGGTTGCTGAGTACTGTATATTAGTTGAGGCCAAAGGCCTGAGTGAACAGATGGTGTTTGAGGTGTTTTTTGAAGGTGTCCAGAGTGTCTGCATTCCTGATTGCAGAGGGGAGAGAATTCCAGAGGGTGGGGGCTGCGACACTGAAGGCTCTGTTGCCAAATGTTTTCAGCTTGGAGCGCTGGATGGAGAGCAGCCCTTTGTCAGAGGACCGCAGGTGACGAGAGGGGGTGTAGGGCTGAAGGAGGTCAGAGATGTATGGAGGGGCTAGGGAGTGGAGAGATTTGTAAGTTAGCAGGAGGAGTTTGTACTGGATGCATGAATTTTAGAGACTCTAGGAACAACCAACAACCCTGCATTCTTGGAACGCAATGCCCTAATAGGACAGTAGGGTATAATGAGTTATTTAAGGTAAGATGGCACCTGCCCATTAAGGGCTTTGTAGGCGAGAAGAAGAATTTTAAATGATATCCTGTGTTCTATAGGGAGCCAGTGTCAGGCAGCCAGAACAGGAGTAATGTGGTCCCTTTTCCTAACTCTGGTTAGTACACGAGCTGCAGCATTTTGAATCAGCTGAAGCGACTTGACTGACTTCTTGGTACACCCTGATAATAAGGAGTTACAATAATCCAGCCTTGAAGTAACAAATGCATGGACTAGTTTCTCTGCATCGTGTTGAGACAAGATATGCCTACAATAACACTTTGGTTCAACATATCTGGTAAAAACTCCCCAATTGTTGTGATACATGTTGCAATTACCTTGAATTTGTACATTGTACATGCCAGCAGTGCAGGACTCAAACCCCTGTGGTAAAAGTCAGGCTGTATGGGTTAAAAAAACAAACAGTGTACAGCAGGAGGAGGAGTTTCCCCTCCCCTCGGAGCAGGAAGTGTTAAATACGCAGTTTACCTGGAGAGGCTGCAGACGGTGAGCATATTTATGAATATTCACCTTCACACGTTTTGAGGGGGCACAAAACAGTCCTAGACATTAAATTACTTATGATATATTAGGAAGAAAGGCCACTTATTTACCGCTGTTGAATAAAGTTGCATCTAAGTTGCATAGTTACAAATGTACTTCTGTTTTTCCCAATAGGCCTTGAACAGTATCAATACCTGTACCTGTTTCCACTTGTACATTGAATCCATTTCCTTCATATGAAGTCAAGCATGTGTTTGTTTTTAATGATATGCATGGATGAGAAATAGAGAACTGGGGAGAAAGTAAACCAATAGCAGAAAAGACAATAAATAGCCCAACCCAGAAAATCAGTACACCTCTTAAAGAAGCATCTCACATGTGCATATGTTTGGCAGTTACCTATTCAGCAAACTTTTCAACACCAAATGATTGGCTGCAGATCTGACAAAGAACATATTAACCACAGCAGGGAGCTTCTCTGTGTGTCAGTCCAACAGTGCATCAACCCCTTGTTACAAAAGCTTGTCCGAAGGTTATTTAAACACTGTCCAACTACTGGAGAGAGTCCCTGCATGAACATGAACATCGCAGCAGTAAATGCTCTCCCTTATGAGGATTTTGTGGATATTCTGGGCAACGTGGTGGAGAAGTGTCCCATAATAACAGCTGCTGTGTGGTCGGGGCGTCCCTTCCTGAGCCTGGCTGCTTTGGAGGCTGCAATCAGTGAATTCATCGATGCTCTCCCAGAATCAGGTGAGATACAGACTTAGGCAAGGCAAGTTTATTTATATAGCACCTTTCAACACAAGGCAATTCAAAGTGCTTTGAAACGTAAACAAATATGACTTTTTTTACATGTTAAGTTTGTGTCGCTGCTTTTGAGGTTGTTTGCCCTTAAATGTGTTTAACTCTTAGTGCAGGGGTGGCCAACCAGTCAGAGGTTAAGAGCCACATTTTTTCTATGTTACTGCAAAGAGCCACATCAAACACTGGAGACAAGATTTCAACCATGTCACTGATGCATTTTTGTGGCATTGGGATATATATTTTTTAAATCCTCTGGAGCAGAGAGAGGAGCTGTGGATTATTGTTATTGATTAATGCATCAGTGTTTCTTAGGGTCAAAAACACTAAACTCACAACTTGAAATGAAAGCGTTTAGTTTATTTAATAAAAGAGCACATGTTCAATGTGAAAAGTGACAGTAGTTATAGATTATTTGCAATTTGGTGCTATGTATATATTTAAAAAAAATAAAATTATATTTTTTTTTTAAACACCTTGAATTTCAGGGGGGGGGCTCCGTTGGCGGGGTGCAGCGCCCCTCCAAGACAATGGTAGGGGAAACACTGGATAATGTTTAATCAACGATAGGTTTCCCCCCCCCCCTCAAAGGTGATTGGTTCACTGCATCGCAGGTATTATTGTGATTGGCTCTTGGGCCACATCAAAATTAGACGCGCTGTCATCCTCTCATACTGACACCTGACACCACACATACACACGTAGGGAGAGCCGGGACGAAAGTAACACAGGACGAAAGTAATGGAGCGATTTTATCCGAGCCCAAACAACTTTGACCGGCCAAATTACGTCAGAATGATCAGCATTCGATACTTAACAGACCTACTAAATATCAGGTTTAACTGTCAGGAGTAGCTAGTGTTGTCACGGTACCAACATTTTGGTTTCGATACCAAGTCAAGAATTGCGATTCCGATTCTTTTTCGATACTTTTCTTAAAAAAAGGGAAACAGTCTTAAATGTAATTATTGTGCTTTATTTCACACCAGAACCAGAACCATAACACAAACTTTTAAACAATGAGAACAATAAATAAAATAAATGACAAGAATTCGTATTAAATAAAATTAATACATGTCTCACAGACAGGCCGAGGCGCAGCAGCAGCTGCACTCCCACTTGCAGCCATGCTTCTCGTTTTCTCACATGCTCTGGCAGCTAGCGCGTGCATGAGAGAGGGGAGGGACTTAGAGCGTGCTTGAGAGGGGAGGGACTTAGAGCGTGCTTGAGAGGGGAGGGACTGCAGGCACGGCTGCAGTGCAGGGAGTGGAAGCAGAGCGCTGAACACACACGGCTCTTATTAAAACAGCGCTTTCTCACCGGAGTACTTTTCTCCGTCATTCTTAAAGTACCGATACTAATGAAACGGAGGAATCGTACCGTTTTTAACGGCAGGGTATTGCGGTACCTTTCAAGTATTGGTACACCGTGCAACACTAGTCAGGAGTCAGTGTCTCTCCCCCAAACTCACACATATAAAATTCGATATGAACTGAAGAGCCGCATGAAACTAGGCAAAGAGCCGCATGCGGCTCGAGAGCCGCGGGTTGGCCACCCCTGTTTAGTGCAATGACACTGATACACAGTGTGTGAATGTTGTTTTAATTATATTTACTCGAGTACTAGCCACTTCAGTACAATTTTAAGTTACTTTACCTCACAATACAAATGTTATCCTTCCTCATACGTATACTCCACAGTTTTGGGAGCTGATATTGTACTTTTTTTACATTTACCTGACGGGTTTATAGATTCAGATTAACACAACCACTAAATTAGCTATGATATGATATACTGTATTAGGTTAAGATATCCAGCAGTAGAGTAATCAACTTTACCAGCTGATGAATATCAATGATCATAATCTGGTAAATTATGTGATTCTGAAATGGGCCATAATAAATAATGGCTACTTATATTTATAGGTATGCTAATGAAGCCCAAACTTTTTGTACTTTTACTTCAGCAAGATTATGAACGCAGGACTTGTAACAGAGTATTTTAAGAATGTAGTTTTGCTTTCCTTAAGTAAATGATCAGAGTACCTCCACCTGTGTGTCCAGGTAAAGAGGGGATCCTCAGGTGTCACCCAGATCTCGCGGGAAGAGACCTCCAGAGCGGCTCGTTGACCCGGGAGTCCCACGAGGAGCAGGCAGGGTCCGGGATGGGTGCTCTGAACTCGGGGGAAGCCTCGCGCATGGCCCGGCTCAACCAGGAGTACAAGGGGCGCTTCGGATTCCCGTTTGTGATCTGCGCCCGGATGCACGACAAGGAGAACATTTTACGACAGCTGTCCAAGCGGTGCCAGAACGAGCGCGCGTTGGAGAGGGCGCGCGGCATCGAGGAGGTGAAGAAGATATGTCACCTGCGTCTGCAAAGCCTCGTGCTCACTGCCAACAGGTTATGAACTTTTACTGGAGTTTATATTGGATTAGTGCCAGTGTGACCCGGATGTAAAGACTGCCATTGTTCCCACGCCTGATAGGCTTTGTGATAACTTTATTCCAAATGTGTGTTAATCATACTGTACAATTAATTCTTTAAACAATAACATATATGCACCGTTGATTCTAATTTATCAATTTACATTATATAACCTATATACAAGTGGATAATATGACAAATACAGTCATATTACGCATATATACATTAATAAACTCACATGTTTGAGGTGTAACATTTGATTCGACCATTTTACAGTTTGTTGAATCCATGCTGAATGCTGTTGCCTGTTGAAGGGGAAATAAATGTAGTCCTTGCATGTGGTTGTCTCAGCATGCACCGTGGTTCCCAAAACTGAAAGAAATGTCCATTGATAGACCAAAAGGAGGTGAAGTTAAGGGGTCCTGAAAAATTGGCACTTAATTGAAATGACTTTACTCTAATTGAGACTTTAAGGCTCCACTCTCAATTATGAATAGTATTCCTAAAAATATAAAAAACCTCTCAAATTCTTGTTAGGTTTACATTGAAAAACACTCAAATGTCCCAGTAGGTTAAGTCTTTTAGGTTTTATTCTCATTTGGGATTCTTATATTCCTAAAATCAAATTGCATACCTAAAAATCTGTATTTGAAGACTTCCATTGAAACAAACTGAAACGTCCCTGCGGTATGAGTTAGAGTCTATGCAGTCTCTCTGGCTCCAGCTGCGGGGATGGAGTGACCGTGCAGCGGGGAAACAGGAGGGGAGGTGGGGGCAGGTCCGGTGGTGGAGGTGAGCCCCCCGGTGGAGGAGGTGAGCCCCCCCGCGGTGTCCCCCTGGTCCCCGGAGGTGATGGAGGAGTCCTGGTCCGGGTCGGTCCCCCTCCCCCTCCTGCGGTCCTCCTCTTTCTTCCACTTCATGCGCCGGTTCTGGAACCAGATCTTGATGTGTTCTCTCCGTGAGGCTGAGGTTCAGCGCCAGCTCCACGCGCCGCGGCCTCGAGATGTACCTGTTGAACAGGAACTCCTTCTCGAGCTCCAGCAGCTGGGCGCGCGTGTAGGCAGTCCTCGTGCGTTTGTTTTCCTCTGATTCCGCCATCACGTATGGTCCTGGAGACAAATGGAGATTAGTGTCATTACATTACATTGATTGAGTGAGTGTCCTTATGATAACACTTTTGGAATCAGCTAATTATAGGCCTATTTAGGGTCCCATTTCCTTAAATAAGTGTAATTAAACATTTTAAAAAACGTAATTCACACATCATTGTATTCAAGAATTACAAATAGTTTGGGCTTTAAAAGAATAACTTTTTTAAACTTTGTATTTTTCTCTGTTGCATGACAGGGGATCATATTTAATTCGTGTCTCCGAGGCACTTAATTATAACTTGTTTGGAGTAGATCTCAATTAATGTAATTGTAATTATAGTCATATGTCATTATATATCTTGCACAAGTTAACATAATCTCTAACAGGCAAAGAAAACCAAGTGTAAAATTGTCAAGGCATTCACAATTACCAGACATAATAGTAATTTCTTAATCCGAGTTGAAATTTGGGAACAACAGGTGATTTGTGGACACGCTAAAGCTGTCAGGGTCATGTATTGCTTTTAAATCACAACATTTAATAAATATTTCCAAACGATGTGGTAAATTATTGGTATTTTATTGGTATAAAAACATATGTACAAAATATGATTCAGTTTAGCTTTACTTTTGCAGTTAGTCCTCAACTGCTTAATAATGCAGAATTGTATTTGATTGGATTTGTTTGCCTGTCCAAACCTAAAATGAATAGTGCATATTAAACAATTACAAATATCATTTATGTCCTTCAAATGTCTTTTTGTGACGATTAAAATGTAAAGTTAAAATGAGAATATGAGCAGTGAGATATGCTTTAAGCAATAAACTATGTAACTTCAATTGAGCATTTTTTGGGAATATAAACCATTGCGGGTATAAATGCCGATTTGTAGAGGCACAAATTACATCTTAAATCCTTGACTTTAAAGCCTTCCGGTTATTTATAAAAAGTCAGCCTTAAGAATTCCTTCAGATTAATCTAGTCAGGAATTAATTGACACATGTTCGTTACTCTACAATTTACAATCACAACAACTGTGCGTAAATAAACCAAAAATACGCAACGTCACAGAGAAGTCTGTAGGGACTATGAATAATGACCAAATTAGCCTACATTTGTATTTAAAATGTCCATTGATATGACAAAAGACATAACTTTATATATATATATATATATTTTAACTGAAGAGACAGAGAGGAACAGATATACATTCTCCTCACGTTTCTCTGGAGAAAACAGGCTTATCAGAAAACAAACTTGTAGTATATACGTCTTATAATAAGGATTATGGCCTAATCCAAAAGCATCACAGTGAAAGAGAAAAACATGATTTAATAAATGATAATTTAATTTAAACTTTTAAAACTTTATTCAAGCCTATAACAAGGGACAGGATCAAAACCGATGTTGGTATTTAGGTGTGTTAACGGCCTATTATACTCTAGCCTATACAGCCTATTGATAAGATTTGTGAATATGTTTTGTATAAAGACAAAACCCCACATTTATGTTACGATAAGACCTGATAAAAGCAAGCGCTGACCTTCCGGGCCTTTTACACTTTGACTGACAAGGTAAACTGAAACACCCAGGCGCATATTGTTGGGAGCATGATGTCACTGCGGGCCTGAGAAACACCGACTGAGTGCTATGACTACAGAAGGATGCAAATAAGACAACATGTATTCTGAATTAAGCTGAGGAGAAACTGATTTCCATTATGATCATGATGAATACAAGTTAGAGTTAGCTGTCCCGTCCAGGTGTTCTCAAGGAATTATAGGGTTTAAAACTACAAAATTCATTAAATGTTTCCAGATTGTGCGGTTATTTTTGGTTTGGTATTATTATTTAATTTGGCATTTTAGTCGTGTGTCATCTGCTAATCAATTCCGAACAATAAAAAGACAAGTCCATCAAATGTCTCTTTGTGTTGCAAGATAAACTTCAGCTACATGTTTAACTAAACTATGCAACTTTATTTGAGCATGTTTCGGGAACATAAGACTTAAACACTGATTTGTATAAAAGCGTTACCTGCCCACTGCCCCTTCCAGGTGTGCGAGTGAGACTTGGTGCTTTTCATCCAGGGGAAAGGCAGATATCTGCTCTGGTCCCCCGCGTCTCCATAGCCTGCAGCCGGCTGGAGAGGCTGCTGCTGGAGCCCCGGGTGTTGGTGGTGCAGCTGGGTCAAACCTGGGTCCTCCCGCATGGGGAGACTGTAAGAGGCCGAGATGTCAGGGAGGCTGGCCGTCTCCAAGGCTCCCATGGCCGGCGGAGTGTAGACGGAGTGCCGGCTCATGTAGAGGCACGGCGGCGGGCTGTGGCTGTAGTCCTCCGCCTGAGATCTCTGGTAGGCACAGGAGTCTTTAAAAACCTGGGAAGGGTAGTAATGATCTTCCCGATTCATGGCTTCCGAGGTCCCGCACATGCACAGTACCTGCGCCTTTCTGCTCCACCTGAAAGTGGCGCAACTGCGAGGCCCGGGCGGCTCCACACAGGTGAGTCACTTTGACACCATGTGACTCTGCAGCGACCAGGCCATTGGCTTCACTGTTTGCAGACCTGAGAGAGCCCAGTTTCCAGGATCTTCTGCAGCCAGTGGGATTTTCAGTAAATCAATTGCACTCTGTAAATACCTGGCACCCATGCACCTGTGTTTGGAGACAGGTGAATCTGTGAGAAATGGTTATAGAGGTCTGGCATACACGCTTCTCTTGCAGGACTGTCCTCAAACAATACGCCATCAACACTTTATATGGATGTCTACTGTCTGCACTGCATAAATCGATATGTATGGGCGCAAACATTGGCAGACCTGCCAGATAAGAGACCTGGATGGAGGGACAGTTGTCTTGGAAACTCTGGTGAAACGCTCAAACAACATACAGCCTTTTGGTTTCATTTGTCTACACCTTTCTCAGTTTAAGATGTACCCAATGCATCATTTAACACCATTTAGAAAGGCGGGGCCCTGCACGAAGGACCCTCAGAGTTAACAAACACAGGGTTGCACTCTCGCCATGTTTGCTAGCTATTAGCCTTTAGCAGGTGTGTGTTCGCCCCATTAAACAGCCGCTCTCCTGGTTAACCAATTAAGGTTGGAGTGAGCAACAGAACTCAATTAACCTGCAGTGACCCCACAACCTGGCAAACTCACCTGTGCGTTTATGCAACATTTCTAGCCACGTGATCAGAGTGATTTACCTGGTTTTTCATGAAAATTATTCCGGCTTTTACCGGGATAGTGTATCAATGGTCTATTTGCACTGAGTTCTTCAAAAGCAATTATGGCACTTTCCACCGTATCTTAATGGGGCACTCAGCGATGCAATAAAGTTCAAGTAAACCAATTCTATACAAATCACCCCCTGCACTATGCCTTAATGGTGTTTATATTTGATCATTGTTCTAAAGAGGAAGGAAACAGTTAACCCGAGCTGCTCTCCACTACACTGGAGGTGGACAATGTGATTTATGAAGCATGAGGATGTTAAACGCATGTTAGTTGACTTTTTCCAGACACAGAATTTGAAGTAATGGCTTTAGTGAGGAGTAATGCAGCTTACATGTAGATATAAGACATCGGTGGGTTATCATGAACACAGAGAATGGCTGTTGCCTAGTTTATAAAACGCTGTTATAAAAGCACATGGACACATGCCATAGGGAAGATCTCAGCATCTCTTTCAAGCTTGAGTTCATGTCCATCTGCTGTCCTGAAACCGCAGTGACCCCACTCAAACACATGGACGTTTAATCGCTGCATTATTAGTATTGTAGTGAAGTTATCGTTATTGCAGCCTTATTAAATCACTATTAATCCACCGCTTGTTCAACAGGACACATGTAGGAGTGTCAGGAAAACACTACTTCTTTTCTCCTTTGACAAACAAAACCCTTTCTGATAGCCGGTGTCAACATGTCCAAAAAGTTTGACATGCGATAAAATGTGCTTACCCAGTGGCGACAGCGGCACGGCTTATGTAAACATTATGACCTGTGGATAATGACAGAAGAATGGTAATGACATTATAATAGAAATCAAACCCCGGCTGTAGGTGAAACGCAGTAACACCAAACTATGAGTCATGTGAGCGGGAGGGAAAGAAACGGTTATGTGAAAAGTGCTGGGCTGTAACGGCCTCTTGATATTTTATTAACTCTTTTTTTGTGGAAGATATGGGGTGGAAGAACAGTAAAAAGGATATGTTTCTGGCTTTAGGAGTCATCAATTTAACCTCATGAACTACAAAATGGTTAATTTTAAAAGTGAACAGTCAGTAAACTAACGAGAGAGAACATTTTCCATCTGCAGGAATAAAAATTCAAGTCTCTTCAAACGGGTAAACGGAGGTCTTTTGGTCTGCCAGCAGCTCTGTGAGGCGTTCAGTGTTCACCTTTGTGCAGTTAGTGTCAAATCACAGTCTCTACTCATGAAGCCTGTCCTTGTCTCTGTTGTGTCCGTCCCTCCCATGTCTCTGGTCCCTGTTGTCTTTGTGGCTCCTCTCGTTGTCTCGATCTTGCTTCTTCTCTTTGTGATGGTGCGTATGGTCTGTGCGATGGTGGTCTCTGGGAGGTGTTCTGCTGCGACGGCGGCTCCTCTCCGGGGACTTGCTTCTCGTCCTCGAGTGTCCGTCCCGTGAGTCTCCGCTGCGCCGCTGAAGGTTGGTGGAGCGCAGCGTGTTGAGCAGGAAGCGCTTGTTGGTGCTTCTCAGGGGACACTTTAACCTGAAGGACAGACAACCTTTCAAACTCTCATTTACCTTTGATACTGAGGATGGCTGGCTACTAGAGAGCATCATGTATTTGCATTCAAAAGGCCCTAAGATGCTGTACCCGGATATTTTACATTTCTAGTAGAATTTACAGCTTAAAACCGAATCACAATCATTTAAAACTCAAGATTGCAGCTATAACTAAACACTGAGGTAATGACAGTATTTTTTACAGGTTATTTACATTTTTAAAGTATATTCCAAGTTGACTTCTTTCATGCCAAAACATACATGGTTAATTCAGAATATGCCCACTATTTTATTCATTTTAGGCTTTGAATTATATAGGTCTTTGTGGTATTTCATGCCACTGAGAATACAAAATTAGATAGTATAGTGATGAAAATAAAATAGGAATCCTGGCTAAATCTCTGCTATTACCAACCCCAAAAAAAAAAGTTGTTCAGTACTAAACCGTGTATTTTGTAAATATTACAAAAAATATCTGGGATCTGTTGATTTCTCAAGTCAAATTGTTATTACGATCTTCAACAATTTTAACACACATAACGCCTATTTTCCTCCTATTGTGCAGCCCTACGACAGATTGTACTGAATCTTAACACAAGGAAGAAAATGGCCTCGGTGCGAGCACAGCTGAGCAGCAGGCACATGTCCACCATGACAGCTGATGCAGATGGCATGTCAGACGTATCACTCACCATCCTGCGGGGCCCATGGTCTCCGCTCTCACTCGCGCTCTGTCCGTCTCCTTCAGAAGCTCCTCCACCGCACGCCTGCACACCACACGATACCACATGGAGAGAGGACACAGACGTGGAGTTAAGTAACTAAGTACATTTATTCAAGGACAATTGTGAGATATTAGTACTTTACTTGAGATTGTTTTGCTTCTTTGTATTTCTTCCCCACTAGAATTCAGAGGTAAATCGTGTACTTTACAATTATATTTATGTATTTACCTAAGAATAAAAAGACGTACCAGAGTGTAGGAATACTCTGTTACAGTAAAAGTCCTGCATTCAAAATGTTACTCAAGTAAAAGTACAAAAGTATAAGCATCAAAATATACTTAGAGTACAAAAAGTAGAAGTACTCAATTTCCAGTATGTCCCATATCAGATAAAAAAAATAACATGTTTGTATTATAATTATTACTAATGCACGAATGTCAATTGCTAAAGGTGGGTTTATTTAAATGACTTAAGCTACCCTGCAGTATACAAAGTCACCTTTACCAGCTTTGATAACACTTTAATGATCAATCATTATAAAACATATCATATATATTATTCTGAAATGGACCAATCTGCTCAATGACTACTTTTACTTTTGGTACTTAAAGTATATTTTGATGCTAATACTTTTCTACTTTTACTTGAGTACCATTTTGAATGCAGGTCTTTTACTTGTAACAGAGTATTCATACACTCTGGTACTTCTACTTTTACTGAAGTACAAGATCTGAGTACTTCTCCCACCTCTGTTGAGGACACAGATAGCACAAACCCTCAAGGGGGAGCCAAGGGGAGGATGATTTAATTAAGCGAGAGAAAGCGGAGTGATACAGAGGAGAAAGTGAGTCGTTAGTGTCCTAGTTTGACCCGAGCTGCTGAATCAGCACCAGGAGAGGAGAACCACTCGTTTATCCGACCTTTGGCCACAGAACAGGCGGCTAATAACTGGGAAATAGTGGCTGGGTTTCATTACAACCACTCTCGTCTTACACAGGAAATACAAACAGCTGTGTACCAGAAATATCTCCTTCCTAACTGGTGGAGGAGTGCTACGGTTTAAAAAAGACTAGCTAGAAACGTAAGCAGCCGTTAGAAGAAAATAAGTAATAAAGTAGTTCCTCACTTTTCCAGTTCGTTGTCCTCTGCCATCGCGTCCTTGTAACTCACACGCTGTAATAAAGTTAATTGGACTAAAACCGATGTTATCTTAATTAACGCTAGCAACCATTTCTGTTTACTTCGCCACGAGGTCCTTCAACCAAGGACCCGTGTTTTTAGATGTTATTAGAGATGCCTGATAGTAAAGCAACTTTCCATCTTTGTTGTGACATTACACCTAGACACAACTATCTTGCTATTTTTTTGTATCCATATATCTTCATCTGGAAAATGAACTATAGCAATGCACATCATCTGATACCAGTGGTTAATAACATGGAGAACTGAATTGATAGTTTATGAGCCATTATTAGCTGTTTCCTAACAACCATATCTGCAGATTAATCTCGAATCAGTGTCTTAATCTTAATTTTCTAATTTAAATTAAATGCTACAAACATTAAGTCAACATTAAAACCCATACTTTCACATTACGGATATTAAGAAGAAGTGAGGGAGGGTTTTCTTTTTTATTTCGAGCAGGCTCTTTGGAAGCCACCTCTGATTCTGCTCTGGATTGACAGCCACAAGCCCCGCCCACTCCCATTGAGTGACAGCAGTGGGTGGAGTCAGCGCCTCCAAAGGAACGGGGGCGTTTTCGTGCGGGTTTGCGGAACGGGCCGTTGCGGTGAATGCGTGAGTGAGGTCCTAACAATCGTCCCCCTTTTTGGGGACGGAGAGCACGGCGCGGAGGAGAAGCAGCCGGAGAAGGTAACTGACATCTGTTCATATTCCGTCCTGCACGAGAAGGTGTCAGTGTGTGCATGGCTCTGCATTCAGAGTGCCATTGTCGCTTCATCTGTCCTCGCTTCTCCTGCTGCTGGAGGGTGGGATGGAGTCCGGCAGATGGGGGCAATGATTACAAAATGTCTAATTAAATGTGTTAACGGGATACTTATAGACCATGACACTTCAAATGTAGTGTTGCCATGCTAAATTGGAATTATGACAGTGAAAACATTCTGATAATTGTCATTTAAATCTGTGTCCGTTTTTTGTTGTTATCATTGCATGTCTGACTGTTTAGCTTATTGCAAACGGTCAACGGACCTCGCAGAGCAGCAGCAGCAGCAGGCCTGCTCTTGCAAGTGGCTATCAGCCTTTCTAGATTCAGTTTTAAGATAAGGGACGATGAGATGGGGTTTATGGAAATGTAGGCTAAGCCGGCTGGACCAGAGTTTTTAAATCTGTGGCCTAAAACATCATCTCATCTTGTTTGAACATGTCATTCCTGCAAGCGAGGTTGTTCATGGCTTGCTCTGGGTTGTAAGAAAAAAAGAAAAACGAGCAGAGACAGGTGCAGGGCCAAGACTGTTATTTATTAATATAGAGAAAGCAGTGCAATGACAATAACAGCATGGCCTTGGACTCTCTCCCGACTCTGTGGGATTCAAAGGGCGATATTTCACTTGCATTTGATAGTGTTCATATGACTTGCGTCAAAGAGTCTTGTGCTACTATGTTTAAAATAGATTTAAGTGCTTTTCATGGCAGGGGCTCTTAACAGCTGCCCCAGTGAAAACCTGAAGATGTTACTTATTGATAAAGACTATTTGCAGGACCCAAAAAGCTCTAGTGAAGGATGTGTTTTTGCTTCTTGCCTGTGAAGACTTCTTCTTGCATGTCTACAAGTCCGTGTGTGTGATGTGGTGATGTCACAGCTTTGTTACAGGAACAGAGAAGCCTTGTGTCCTCATGATTAATTCATGTCCAGCTGCAGGATAGAGACAGAAGCAGCCAGTCACACACAGACAGGAGCACGTACTTAAAGGAGGCTGAAATAAGTACCGGTCCGGTAGCCAAGGAGACAGGGGAGACAGGTCGTCACAGAAATGGGTATAGCCAGGGAAACAAAACAAAAAGCAGCTAAATATGAATCAAAGGATGCTCTCATCATCATGGAGCGTTCAGGCGGAAGAGCGTCCTGCTGAGAGGAATCAGAATCAGGTTTAAAGTAGCTTCAAGGAATTAGCCTTGGTGGATGTGGTGCATGCACAGTTAGATATACAATGGGAGTATAATATGACAAAATCCTCAGAATAATGAAATACAACAGGCGTTCAGATATTAAGATAGATACTTTATTAATCCCAAATTAGGTATTTCTTTTGTGAAAGCAGCAGTGTGTTTAGGCATTAACATATTTAAAAGGTGGAAAACACAGAGGTATATAAAGAGGTAGCTTTGTGTACAAATGTGCACAATGTTCGGAGGGTTGTTCAGGACTGACAGTACTTAGATGAATGAATAAAAACAGACATTGTTTGCATGGTGGTGGGGGGTGTAGCAGACGGGGAGAAAATGCATCTGTTGTGCATCTCTTCTGCATCCTTTTCCTCGGCTACACTCTGAATGTCAAGCCCCACTGAGCAGAACAGGCTCCAGGTCGTCATGGAGACAAGAGCAGACCCCCGCTGCAAACAGAGGCAGGTAGTCAGTGTGTCTTGGCCTGCTGCGAGCCGAGGAACGCCCTCTGCTGTCCACCCATTGCATCAGACCCACAGGGGGGGGGGGGGGTTAGCTACCGTCTGAATGTGAAACGCTGTGGAAACGAGCGCTGGGGAGGCTCTCTCCTCGTAGAGTGCTTTATTTCAAGACTTTGCTGTAGGCATGTTCTCTGCAGAGGAGTGCATCTGCTGTGCGCGGACACAAATATCAACGTGGAAGAATTGATTCTGTTTTCTCTTCCAGAGCCTCACACATCCGTCTCTTCTTTTGCCCTGTGCCACTTTCACATCCCATTCATCTCTCTATCCCCTCATTTTATTTCTCACTCCCTCTTCTTGGCTCAGCCTCCGCTCCTTTTCTACCACGACTCTCTGTTGCTTTCCCAATCCCACTTCCTCTGATCTGTGTCCTCTCTCTGCCTCAATCCCAGATAATTCCCTCTCTGTGGAATTGGAAGATTGCAACAGGCGAGAGCAAAAGAGAGATTATACTGTCAGATTAGTAGACAGGAGCAGCAACACACACACACACACACCACGGTGTCCCTTTCCATCACGTGCACAAAGCATTTCCACATTAATAAAAGCACGAGCACATAATCAGACACTTGTTGTTTTCCCTGAAACAGCTTGTTTAACCCTCTGTCTTTGACCTGCAGGGCGATGTGCCATCAGCCACTGGGGGGCATCTGTCCTTCTGTGGCCTGAAACATCATCTCTTTTTGTTTGGAAATGTCATATTTGCAAGCGAGGTTGCTCATGGCTTACTCTGTGTTATACGATTAGAAAAATAAAGAAAATGGACAGTAGCCGGGCCAAGACTGCTATTTAACAATATAGAGGAAGCAATGCAATTAATAGACGCACATAATCAGACACTTTTTCCCCTGAAACAGCTGTTTAACCCTCTGACCTGCAGGGTGATGTGCCATCAGCCACTGGGGGGCATCTGTCCTCGCTGCCACCCCTTCATCCTGTAAAGCTTTTGGGACAGGAGTGCGGGTGCCCCTTCCCAACACTGCAGCCCCACTGGAGTCACCCGTGCCAAAGCTAGGTTGCGTGAAAGCAGCGGAGATGGGCAGCCCGGGCAGCGAGGTGGGTCTAAACGACCCGGTGGAGCCCACTTCAGAAGCTCTGTGTCCCGAGTGTGGGCAGATCCACCGCAGCTGGGAGAACCACCTCTACAACTACCGCCTGGAGGTGGACGACGACCTGGTGTGCCACATCTGCCTGCAGCCGCTCGTTCAGCCCCTGGACACGCCCTGCGGACACACCTTCTGCGCCCGCTGCCTGAGGAGCTTCCTGAAGGAGAGGGACTTCTGCCCGCTGGACCGCACGAGGCTGCAGCTGCCGGCCTGCCGCAGGTCCAGCATCCTAGTGCATAAGCTGCTGGACAAGCTGTCCGTCTCCTGCCCTTTGACCCCCCTCTGCGCCCTCAGCATGCCGCGGTGCGACCTAGAAGCTCATCTCAAACACAGGTAATGAAGCTCACATGATGAATGCACACATGAAATCCAGGCCAAGCAAGATTTCACAAGCCCTTCGGCAGTGTTGTAGCTGTATGGAAATCACTTACATAATTAACAGTGACACCTAGTGTGTTATGTCTAAAGGTGAAAAATATTTAGTCATTCAGAAGACAGTGAATTGCCAGAAGTTAAATTATTACACGCTTACATTTTAGCAAAAGTTCCAACAATTCATCGGTTAAATCTTCTCAAGAGTGAATGATTTTCTCATTTGTTATCCCATGGTAGGTAATGGAATACTTTGAGGAGTACATTTGAGGAAATATTTCATTTAAAGACACTTTGGGCCCATTTTTCTCCATTTTCTGGATTCAACAATGTATCTGTTAATGGAGAAAATAATTGACGGATTGATAATGAAGAAAAGAAACTGAAAAGAGTTTGAAACCGCTCCGCCCTCAGTTAGCTTGTCTCTGCCAGGAACTCTTAAGGATGTCCTAGTTCTTAGCCCAGGGCATTTAGACTCACCTGCCACCCTTAACCTAAAGGGTTTCCGTTCCTTTGGCTTTTGGCCCATTTGGACCAAGTGCTGTGAGACCCTGAGGGGATTATTGGGCTGGATAGGTCATGTGACGGGGGATTAGTGTTTCCCTACCACACTGTACCGCAGTCATGGGTTGACTGACCAGGAGCTCCATATTCTCATTCTGCCATCATGCTGAGCAACTTCAACACCAGAGACCTTTTCAACCACTTCTTCTGCGAGACAGCCAAAGGCAACCCTGGCCTGTGGTGAGTCCGACACGGAGGGTGTGGGTCGGCACAATCATAATAATAATAATAATAATAATGGCACTTCACTCTCCACCTTTCCTTGTGTGTCTCTCTGTTGCTCTGTCCTGCTCTGAAATGCAAGGTGGTGTGTGATTTTGATAGTGCTTCAAAGTTGCCATAAGTTAGGCTGCTGTTGTTGGGTGGATTTAATTTAAATGCAGCATATCAGAGGATACTTTAAAAAAACTATACAGTGTGAGGAAATGCTACTTTTCTTTGTACAAAGCTTTAGTTTTTTTGGTAAACTTAGCTATAGTTGTGAGGACATATACTGTAGAAAAATGTCTATTAACTGAAGTTAAAACAAATTAAGATGGTGTCTTTGGTAAGAAGCCATCCATCCAAACTGGCTTTC